TTTTGCTTCACTTCTGCCATGAGATTGGTATCTGTAACTTCAGGGTTTCTTTGCCCTGAGCTCAGGCTCACAGGCTTGTTTATTCTGGCTGCGTACCACTCTGCTGCTCTGTACCTCAGTAGTTATGCCTCCTGCAAGCCATCAGGTGGCGCTATCCTGCAGAGTCTTTGAGGGAACGCGACATTGTCTGGTACGAGAATAAGTTAAATTGCTGTGGCTCAGGTGGTAAAGCGGATTGTCCTCCAATTGCAAGGTTGGCGGTTCGATCCCCCGCCCTTTCACAGTCGAAGTGTCCTTGGGCAAGACACTGAACCCGAAGTTGCTCCCAATGGCAGGCAGCACCTTGCATAGTAGCTCTGTCACCACTGGTGTATGAATGAGTGATAAGTGCAGATCATTTACCATTTAAATTTACTGAGTTTGTGGGTTGCTGAGCAAAAACTTTCATGATGGCTTGCAGGAGGCATAACTACCGAGGAGCAGAGCAGCAGCAGCCAGAATGAACAAACCTGTGAGCCTGAAGTTGCAGATATAAATCTCTCACGGCAGAAGCTACGGGGTTATGATTGTAAAAGAACTATTTGTAAACATGTATGTAGAGTTGTGTGTCTGTATCTCAGTCTGTGCATCTGTAGTGAGATTCGTCGACACAGACAAACCACCCGTTACAAGTCAAGCAGGCCTCACAATTGTCTGTGTTTTTTTTAAGACGTGACTTTTGCTTCACTTCTGCTGTGAGAGATTCATATCTGTAACTTCAGGGTTTCTTTGCCCTGAGCTCAGGCTCACAGGTTTGTTCATTCTGGCTGCGTACCACTCTGCTGCTCTGTACCTCAGTAGTTATGCCTCCTGAAAGCCATCATAAAAGTTTTTGCTCAGCGACCCACAAACTCAGCAAATTTAACTTGTTCACAAACCAGACAATGTCGCGTTCCCTCAAAGACTCTGGAGGATAGCGCCACCTGATGGCTTGCAGGAGGCATAACTACTGTCTGTATTTCCAGCACTTGTAGCCAAATACTTAGACTTTTCATCTGTTAATATCTTTTTACGCATTTACAGATCTTTGTACACACTGACGATTCTTTTTACACATCGACTAATTGTCTACAAATGTTTTTACACATTGACAAATCTCACTAGATTGAGATACAGACACACAACTCTT